ACCAATTGACCTCAGCATGTTTTTGAACTGTGTGGGAGGAAGCTGGAGAACCCGGAGAGAACCCACGCTGCACGGGGAGAACATGGAGACTCCACACAGAAAGATCCTGGGTGTCCTCACCGGGACGCGAACCAGCGACTTTTTAGTGGTGAGGAAATGGTGTTAACCACCGAGCCACCTTGCAGCCCGACTTGCATCCAGTTATTAAAAACAGTTGGCTGAACGTCTACACTTCAGTTACATGTTGGTTGCTTCATTTCAAACCTACAGTGTCCAAATACTAATGGACCCGACTGCACTGTACAAGATCAGTCAGTGTTTCATTTCACAGCTGATGTCCAGCAGCAGGTGTTTAGATGAAAAGTCACTGGATGAAGAGAGATATGGAATCGTGAAAACGGGAATAAGTTGCACGTAGTATTCAGTGTTTGAATTAAGAAGCTCCCTCCCCAAGCTGTGTCTTTATAGTAACAGTTAAAGCAACAGGAGCCGGTTTTTCAAATCTCATCTGAATCTTTTCATTTATTTACTGTTACAGTCGTCCTCAGATTTATTCACATCCTCCCATTAAAGAAGGAAAAAAACATCTGTCACTGAAATAAGCTGAAATTGACAAAAGTAATAATAAATAAAAATGTAATGAAAATCATGACGTTGCTTTTGAACTGTGGTTCAACAGAAATATTTAAAAAACAAAACAAGAAGCAAACAAGCATGATGGGAGCCATAAACTAATATTTAGTTGAACAACCCTTTGAGCCAATCACTGCCATCAGGTGTTTTCTGTAACTCTCAATCAGACTTCTGCACCTGTTGACAGGTGTTTGGGTTTCACTGCTCATCAGCAAAGTGCTCTAATTTGACAGTTTAAAAAAAAAAATTAAAAATTCTTTTCAACCACAATTCTAAATTATAATTGAGCAAATTTTTATTTATTATTACTTTTTTCAGTTTCTGGTTATTTGAATGACTTTTGTGAATTTGTGCCTTTTCTTTAATGGAAGGTTATGAATAAATATGAGGACGACTATATGTTTTAACTGGAATGAAGATAGTTGTTGTCTTTTAGTATTTGATTAAATAAATGAATTAAAGCAGAAGAGGTTCTCCGGAGTCTTAGATCGACCTGTAAATTGGAGAACCAAACCTCGGCCGCATCTGTCAGCCACATGAGCTGGACATGTCCACTTTGGCTGCATCCTTATATTCCTATCATTTTCTAGGTTGCAAAATGTACTTATGATGAACGTTTACGACTGAGGACAGTTGTGCAGCTGTTGAGCAGTGAAAGAATGCAGCTATCAGACATGATGCTACTTCTGGCGTCAGTCACGGACAAACTGTGCTGAAATGAATTCAAAGCAGCTGTAAAGACGGACAAACACATTTAAGAGATGTCCTTCTTTTCAAACGCAAGAATCCAATCACAGCGGGGGGCTCAGATCAAAGAACATTAAAGTAAGAACGCGTGGCCAGTGAGGGGGTTTATTCACTTCTTTATTTGTATCTCATAAATCCATCTCTCTCCATTTAAAATGGGTGAAAGCAGATTAAAAATGAATCTTCTATACACATCGTCTCCAGTAAAGGGGCATTCTGTACAGTGTAGTTGGTGTTTACAGTGTGTATCTACACGCGATATGTTACAGTCTGGGTGCGTTTCAGGTGGCCTCCGTCGCAGCAACGTTCCTGCCGCATTGATAAACACTGAGCCGATCGACAACAGCTCTTCTTCCGCCCAGGTGATGCTTCATGCAGTCAGCGGCCGCGGCGAAGGCGACCTGAAGCGTCCCATCTATTTCTGATAAGAACAAAGGCATCACAGATTTCCATCAATGGAGCGGCGGCTCTGTGTAATTAATTATAATATTTAAGTACTTCATTTACCATCATTATCTTTATACAATGAATATTCACATACACAGTTGATTTTCTTTGATTACAGGTTTCTGTTCAAAAGGAAGCACAAAGTTATGCAGTTTTGACGTCTCTCAAAAGGCGGCTCCTTTTGCTATAGTAATTGTTTCTCTTCACACTGTCGTCCCTCCTCCTCCTCCAGACAGCTGAATACATGTTATATACACGGCTGATAACTCGACTAATCACAAGCTCCTCCGAGAAAAAGTCTAAAGCAGCTTGCTGCTGTTTGCAGTGGTCTAAAAAAAAAAAAAAAAAAACCCCACAATGCCAGAGAGAACGAGGAGAATGGCCTGCCACTGCCATAGCATTATTTTTTTAATGCATTGAAACCACTGACTGAAAGAATAAGCACCAGAGTTGTCACTAAGAAACGATGGAGTTGGATGTGACGCTTGTGAAATGAAGGGCGTGTCCCGTAAAGCATTTAAGGAAAATAAAGGACAAAGGGAATCGTGTGGGTGCAGGACTAAAAACAGAACGTATAGCAACGTGGTGCGTCGTCAGGCTTGGTGCTGTGTCGAGTTTACACACTATTTGATTCACAGATTGTTACACGAAGGCGATTTCAGCTCATATAAAATTAAGAATGAGACGAAACGTGGGGTGGATACATCAGAGTGTACGATGAACTCAGCACTGTGGTCTTAAAGGTCATCTTGTGCAGCTGGACTGTAGTCACACTGTTGACTAGATAGAAGCACAGAACTGCTTCTTCTTTTTTTTAATGGCTACTTTCCACTGTGTTCTGCTTGCATGCAACATTGGTTTACGTTGTTATCAAGTCGTTCTAGACATTTTGATTCCTTTTTTTTACACTTTCTCACAGCACATGGCGGCCAAATAAGATCCGACATTCATAATTAAGAGTCGAGGAATTTGGTGCGCGTTATGTAAGAGTGACGACACTTATGGCGAGATACGCTGCGGGGCTGTTTGTCAGCTGTGTCAGCTTCATCTTAGGGGCTGGAGTAAATGTTATCTTTATGTCATAAAGTAGGAATAATCACATCTCTCTAAAGTACAGAGGCTTCACTGGACTGGAGACACTTTATGGTCCAAGATCATAAATTCAAAACAGGCAACAGAAAGTCAGCCAAGCGCACATGAATTATTTGAGCCACATGATTTTTTTTTTTCTTTTTCTGTTGAGTCAATTCTCTAAATGTTTAAATGGCAGCTGTGGGTGTGTCATCCTCGTGTTTTTAACTTGCCAACTGAAGCCCTTCTCTCTTCACAGTGTGCCAGCAGGCTGCCGTCTAGCGAGCCTTTATAATGTCCCGTATCTCTGGCATGAACCTTCGAGCTGCGAGGCTCACCGTCCCCACACTCACGCACACACACACAGTTCAACTCTTTCAGTCCAATTAAGAATTCTCGAGTGTCCATTAGTTTCTACACCAGTCTTTGCTTCCAATCAAAAGGACCCAATGATGCTTCTTTCTCTGGGCTGGTGTCCAGAATCTTATTGTTGAGGGAATACTGTAACCGAGAGTGTTGTTCTGTGCTTAAGTCCAACCTGAACGCTGTGCCGTTGGTCGACGATGGCGAGAAGCTCGTTCGGGGGCGATCCATGCCAACATGTCTGTGTGCGAACGTGTGGTGGTAGCGGCGGAGGGCGGCGGTCACAGCGGTCTTCTCATCTTCACAGGCAGCATGCAAAAATTGCAAAAATTACTACGTGTCCGACAGGAAAAAAAAGAATTTCAGGCACCAGACTCCAATACTCTTCTACTCTTGCCGTTTAAAAGCTCTATAGAACTAGAGCTTTAAAAGAAGATTGCGCGTCAACTATAAAATCCTCTCGAAAACATTTTCAGTCTCTTTTAAAAAGCCAGTCAGCAGCGGGGAGGAAATTTAAAAAAAAAATAAAGAAAAACAATTAATGATTTCTGTTCTTAAACAGGAGCAAAAGGCTGAAATGCTTGCATATTTCATGACGGGGGTCTTATATAATATTTAAGGGCTGGGGAACAGGATTGCGGCAAAAATGATGCTGCAAATGAGAATTTGGTTTTAAATGACAAAATAGCTTATATACATTGGTGGTTATCTTGTGCAATTTTTTTTTTTTTTAGTTTGTTTTTCTTGGCTGAATAAACAGCGATGGGGGAGGGAGGGAGATACGAGAGGACTCCTCCCTCTATTCTTGGCCAAATCCTTCTGTTTCCTCGATGGCAAAGAGCAGCTTCTCTTTAAGCTGTTCGAAACTTTTGTAGGGAGGCAAGTCCAGACGGTTGAAACTGAAACGATAAAGAAGGACGAACAAAGATCAGTAAAAAGGTTTGAACTGCAACGGTCAATATCTTCAACAGCTAAACACATTTCCTTAACAACCGATTTGATGCTTCCAGTCAGGATTTCGATGACACGCCACCGTTGAGATCGCTCTCAAGCCAGCTAGAACTTATTAGCTCTAAAAGTGTTGAGAAGGTTCTACAAAGTTCTAGTGAATCAGTTTTAAGCAGTTTTTTTGAGTTCTCGGAATGATTTGCTTAACGGTAAGAAAACAAAAAACAGACGTTCTAAAATACAGTCGTGACTCGATATTCCGACACTAAATGTAAAACCTTCTTTTATGT